CCCCCCCCCCCCCCCCCCCCACATTACTTTTATTCTCTGCCCTGCCTCCTCGTCTGCATTGCTCTTTCTCCCTCCCACCGCCTCAGCCCTCTTGGCACCGCCTCCCACCCCCCCACGCACCTGGGACAGGACTGTCCTGACGATGGCGCCGTCAAACGCCTCCGCCAGCAGCACTATGATAGAGGCCTCGTTGTCAACCAGCGTCGCCAGCTCCGAATCGAACATTGCTTCGCTGCTTGCGGCTATCACCACACTGCAGCAGGAAAAGAGGAGAACAACGTAGCGGCGAGGGGAGAAGGAGCAGTAGGGGGGTGACATAGCTTGGATTATGACGTGCGCCGCGGCTCGGGGGGGGGGCAGGGGGAGCACGGAATGTCACAAGCAAGTTGGATTTCGTTGCACAACGCGAATTTTTCGCGCATAAGCCAAAACGCCAGCCGCGCTCCCGCACTGACTCGTGCCTCCCCCAAGGCGGAAGGAGGCTCGAAAGCAAAAAAAAAAAAAACATTGTCCCATCAAGCGTCAAGAGCACGTACGGCTACATGTAACCACCGCATGACTTCCATCCATCCACCGAGCGAGTCCGCTACAGGTTTTACGGTGCCGTCAATCGATACGTGCGGTGGAACCTACAGGGTGGTGGTCCTTGAACACACCTCGTACAACCAAGACAACTTTCTATCCATCCTGTGCTACAGGCAAGCGCCACCAATCGATGTACGTGCGGTGGAACCTACAGGGTGTGTGCCTTACGTTCCGGCAACCTCGACCGTCGCCCGCTCTTCCTCCCCGATCCCGTCGTCGTCGTCCTCGTCGTCGGAGGTGTTGGGTAGGGCCACGGAGATAGTCGTAGCGGCGTTGTTGAAGGCCGCCGTCGCGATCGTGCCGAAGGTGTCGCTCGTGTGCACCAGCCACACTCGCTCCGTCGTCTCGGACCTGTCCGGTCATCGTGTGTAGCACACGGCAGTAAATGGGGGGCTGTTCAGTGTCGTTATAGAGAGAGAACCACAAACACGACAAAATGAGTAGAAAAGAGTAGAACACTGCCCTCGTTCGACGTTTTGCACCAAAGAAGTGGTACAAGAACGACAAATGTTGTCCACACCGGGTAAGGAAATCTGGTGCTGTTCCTTCTCTTGCCGGTTTAGGGCGAAGGGGCGTGCCGGTTTTCAAAGCGCCTGTGATTTTACAACTGTATCCCTGCTTGTTACATCCCTGCTTGTTAGAAAGTATGATCATATGAGACAATTCAAAACACCTCATCAATCTCGAACAACAAACACACAGAACACTACTTGCACACTGCCGGATGCATGCGTATCACAGAGCTCTCTGAGGCATGCATGTCCTAGTACATATCTGATCACAACCGCTTTCAACAATAGATCAGATCTACAACAACAGCGGATTCCTCTCTCTCTCTCTCGCTTCCGCCCCCCCCCCTTCTCGCCTTCCGTCCACGGCGTCCCGAGCCAGCTTCATGTCCAGTATTAGCCTCACGAGGGCCTGCATCTGCGGCACAACGCCGGGCTGGGTGTGGAGCAGGTAGCCGCCCTCCGTCTCGTTTCGCGACTCCGCCCTTGCAGCGGTACCCGCGACGCTCATGAGCGGCAGGTCGAGGTACTCGTTCGAAAGGGAGCCCATTAGGGCCGTGCTGTAGGTGTCGAGAGCACTCAACACCTGTTTGATTTTTTTTTGGGGGGGGGACGGGAAGGCAATAATCATTGATCACTCTGTGTGGCGCTCTCGACGCCATGCGGCTCTTGCGCCCATCTGTTTTATAGCTTTCGATCCATCCGGATACAAACGTGAATACCCCTACGATGATCCTCCTACAGATACAATCAGATACAATTGGCGTATATATTGGGTTTGGGGTGTTTGTTTTTGTTTTGGGTTTTTCTCATTTTTCAGGTTTGGGTACGCAATATACATGACACCCGACAACAACGTTGTCTCAGATCCAATGCAGAACAAAGAGGACGGCGGGGGGAGCAGCGGGGCAGGGGTGGCGGTGCTATAAGGGAGAGGGAGGGGGAGGGAAAGGGAGGGAGTGCCAACGCA